GGAATACATTTACTACGACGTGTAATAAATTTTGGTTATTTGCCTCTGTCACCAGGCGGAACGACGACACTGACTACTCTATTTAAATCAAAAGAATGTAGAAGGACAGGCTCCACCTTTTGGGTCTGGATGAGCTTGGACCTGGAATGTTACATCACTTTTAACAAGCAGATACCTTTAAGGGAACTGAGATGTACCCAATATTTGTGCACCATCTATCTCACAGGTGTGACCTCTGACCTTCTGGTACTTCTTGAACACAGCCATGATGTCATCGTTGAAGCTCGGCTGAAGCACCGCCCTCAGCAGATCCATGGACACCTGAGGATCCGTGTAGCTACACATACACACATACACAGGTGAATATTGAGATGGGCGACGGAGCAATGCCAACAATGCAACTGATCTATGACCAGCTGTTTGTGTATCACTTGTGGCATGCTGCATTAGCAAGTGCTATGACTGGCTCTTTATGACCTAGGAAGGGAGCATGTTTGGGGATTGTTCACTGAGCCACCGTTATGTGGTCTGCACACACTGCTTTTAACCAACCACGCTATCAAACTCATTTGTTACCATTATTGAGGAAGTGCCTATCGCAGTATATATCGTTATCATTTCATCACCCAGGCCTATTTTTTTAATCAACATCAGCCTTCTCTTTTACTTTGTACTGTTTCTCTGCTGAATCCATTGGCTGCACTGTGATGACAGCTGTGCATGAGATAAACCAGTACTGACCTGACTGTCATGTGTGAGCGTCGTCCTCGTCTATGAATCTGTCTGTGTTTGATCATCAAGTTCCACGGCTTCTATGCACGCACACACACACACACACACAGAACCATCAGACCCAAGGTTCTGCTGAGAACCTGTTGCTGTCCTGGTCTTTGAGTCATGTTTTCATCTTGCTGAAGCTCAGACTCTTACACATCTTTCAGAAACTAGCTGAATTAAAAACTCAGTGGTTGTTTGTTGTGCGACTGTGAGCTGATGGAACAAACCATTGACCTATGTTGGTTTCATCAGGAAATGTTTACACCCAACAAACCAACCTTGTGGAAGTGTGGTATATAGTGGCAAAAAAAGTAAGTGAACTCTTTGGGATTGTCCACGTTAATGTATAAATTAGTTTTAAAATATGGTCAGAGCTTCATACAAGTTGCAGTAACAAAAAAACAAACAAACTATTATTTGAACTAATAACACAAATCACTGTGTTGTTCTTGTCCATATTTAGGATATTATTCAAACAAACCCCTAATGCCATGAACAAGAGCTAACTGGTTTCAGGAGGTAACAAACCAGAGGTCTGTAAACATGAAGTGAGTTCAACTTAGGGTGTACTTCCAGGAATGGTTGCCTCATACCACGCATGAACACGACTGCTTCCCCTACCCACTCCCCCACTGGCCTGCACTCACAATGCACTTGAAACGATGCGGCCGTGCAGCTTATACCCATGAGAGTGGATTAAAGGTATAGTCAGTGATTCTAATTCATTACATATTGTCATATTCAGCTACAATTTTTCTGACATTTCTCTGCTGCCCTTTCAGTTCATGCCTCCCCATGTGGCAGTGTGTTGTACTTGCTCTGCAATAGACAAAAAAGGATCTGAGTCAGTCGGATAATTTCAGCCAATCAACACAAGGAGGTGCTCTTGCTTGTACACAGCATAGTGTGTGTGTGTGTGTGTGCGGGGGTATCGGTTTGTTAAATTCACAACATTGATGCAGCTGAAAGGGAGAGATGGCTGACAAACTACCAGCGCCACCTTTTCCACTTACAGCCCATACATCTAAACAACCAGGAGGAGAAAGTCAAGCACAAAAATAAAAAAATAACAACTATAACATTAAGCAGGCAAAGTTGGAGACCTGGGTAAACACAGCTACGTACTGCTTTCCAAAGATGGAGAGAGCTTCAGAATTTAAAATGGATGAGGGTGGACAAAGAAGTGGCTTTTTTCTGCTGGACAGGTGGGTCAGTTGTTTGCTATATGCCACTGAAAACTGTTATGGCAATCGGCTAATCTTTGTGCTATTGTTACGTTAGCAAACTGGGCATTACCCGTGTCACATTAGCCTGTTTGCTGAATCAAACGGTAAATACCTGGGGCATTCAGCTAAACTGCTTGTTTGCAGATGTATGCGGTTGTTCCGACTTAGAACCTTTTTTGACTCTCTCTCAAATATTGGGTCATTTTAATAATTAGGTACCTAGCTCGATTAATCGAGCTATCTACGGTAACAGAACATGTCATTAAAAATAGTAATTGTTGATGAATCTTGCCGTTTCCTACAGAAAACAATGGACCTTAATCGACTGGAACCATTTGAAGCTAAACGAGTGACATGACCTGCTGCCATTTTAACCCCTCAATGTCACAAATCTTCTACCTTACTGACTCTGGTTTATACTCGCCGTTCTCACCCATGCGTCCTGCGGTGCGCACCACATATGATATCACAAAGTCTGACGCATGTGCATGTTGGGTATTGTTTCGTGCACATCCCAGTTTTTGTAACTTGGCGCACGCTACGAGGCTGGAAAAGCAGGGACAAGACAACTAGCTAGTGACAAGAGTGTGTGAGCAGGTCGGTTTCTGCAGACAACGGCTGACTCTAAACATTTCTCCTCCCATTTTTACAAACAGAAAAGGTCAAAACAGTAGTGACATGGACCAAGGATGCAAACACCGCCACGATGCAGATGAAGATAAGCGTTCGTGTGGCCTGTCCGCTTATCTCACACATTGTCTTCAGATTTGTAACCAACTTCATTCACTATAGTCCTCATCAGCAAGTCACTACTACGAGTCAATACCTGGATGAAATCAAGTTTCACTTTGTCAGTGCTTAGAGTGAGTCAATACCTGGATGAAATCAAGTTTCCTTCAGTTAAACAAAGAAATTACTTAAGTTATTGTTTCTGGCAACACGAAGGAAAGGACGCAAGTTAATGCCCAGCTTGATTCTGGAGTTATAATGACAAAAACTCAAGCTCAGAGGTTTTATGTTCATACAAGATCTAGAGGAAGTCATTCAGGCCTTCATTTGTTAGAGAACGTTAGCTCATTCGGCTGCTCGAATTTTAACCTGAACCTGGAGAACTGAGCACATCACTTCTGTAATTAAATCCTTAAACTAGGCCTCAATTAACTTGAGAATCGATTTTAAAGTACTTCTCAATGGTATAGATCCAAAACACATTTCTGATCGGAGTGAAGGATCCAAACCCAGCAGGGCCCTGAGATCCTTAGGAAGCAGTCACCTGGTAGAACACCGGGTCAGAACCAAACAGGGTGAAGCTGCTTTTAGCTACTATGCTGCACACAGGTGGAACCAGCTTCCCGATGACCTTAGATGTGCCCCGACTCGGACACTTTTATTGCTGTAACTGTTTTTCCTTGCCTTCGTAAAGCGCTCTGAAACACCTCCGTATATGAAATGTGCTAGGTTAGCCTCCGTTAGCTGCGGTTCCTACCGGGCTCTGCTCCGGCGGTTCCGGAGCCAGTCCCGGCCTCCCTCGTTGCGGTGGGCTCCCATGGTGGAAACGGTGCTCTCACAGTCCAGTCCGATCTGGTTCGGGTCCAACCGAGGTAACGCGTACTCTGCTGGGCTAGGTTAGGCTAACACAGATAAACCTAACGCTAGGAATTAATAGCTTACTATCGCCGATGTTATTAACCACCGTTACGTTGAATTAGAGCTCTGACGGGTAATTGCTGACGAACTCATAATCAATAATCACCTCTAACTGACGGTTTCACATTTGTTTCCAGGAAATTGCGCTCCCTTTTCCGCCGTGAGAGGCTAACGGAAACAACAACTCTTCCGGTCATATTTCAAACTAAAAGCACATTTTTTTCACATTGAAAAGCCGCAAAAGACGGACACAAAAAAGATTTAAAGGTTATAAGGTGCAAGATCCTTCATTGCAATTATTAAATCACTATTTAATTTAATCAGATATCAGTGATCTGCTAGTACTTGATGTGAATATTCATTTCATCAAGTAAATTCTTAATTTGTTGTCACTAATCTCTTATCTCCCAGAGGCTATTGTTGTGAATTGGCAACGTACAATTAAATCGAAATCTAAACAGTAAAGGCTTTATTCTATTATAAAGCCTCGTCCGGTTCTTTCAAACCAGGAACTCAGAGGGACGACTCAGACCACTTGAGTATATAAAAAATATAACCGTGCTGGTTTATTCAAAGAGTCACAGGCAAGAATTCACACTTCCAGTCCAGAGATCTTCCAACCCCCAGCCTGCCAAA